AACCACTACACCAAACTGGCTCTAATAAACATAAGTCATTATCACAAACTATTTGTTCTCTTCTTGAGTATCCTACAAACCTAAAAACGGACTCTGACAGGCCCAGATTCTAAAGGCTCCGGTCACACTGGAGGTTTTGCCCCGCAAGAGGGACGGATCGGGGGCGCATCAAACGGGCGTGATCACACCGCAACATCTGGGAAGCGGAGCACACCCGTCCCCGATCCGTCCTTTCCAGGGGGAAACGCATAGCAAAAAAGAACCTAGAAAAGAGTACTACCTACCTGAAGCTCCGCAGCAAGGGCGGCCGTGGGATCGCCGGCATGCCCATCTTCCACAGCATTTGAGGTTCTTGGCCAAACTGCGCATGCGCGCACATGTGCAGCCGGCTGCCTCGCTCTCCGTCCCGTGGCTTCCCCCCCCAGCATCTGATTGTGCCGGGGAGCAACTGCACGGCGGCTCAGGGGATCTGTCTGATCCCACCGCCACGTGTCTATTTTGCTGCGGCTCAGAAAAGCCGCGCTTTCGCCGTGCTTTCCCCCCCACCCGTGTGACCGGGGCCTGAGTTCACCAATCTCCACATGGAATCCTCCTGAAAACTTTTAGTATTGTGTTACCAACATTCTTGTGAATCCCATCTTCAAATTCACCTTGACATTCCATCTGGTCAGTTCAACAGTTCAACAGCAACTCTTTAACCTGGGGAATCCTACAAGACAGAGCTCGCTGCCATTTCTGGCCACCTTAACCAAGTAGAAACCAGGAAGAGAGGAGGGCACCACGGGGTGGCAGCCAAAGAGGCAACTAGGGTCATGTTCACATTCTGCAGGCATAGTCATTCACATAGTACCACTTTGGGGCCTGGTAGAACACTTCTCTCTTTTCCCTCCTCTGTGACTGAAGCCACATACACCCAGGCCTGGGGTGTTTAGTCCATCCTTATGACCGCCCAGTAATTCATGCCACGCAGCTCTTCCACCCAAATTGCTCTCTCTCTGCCTTGCCCCTCACCCCCCCCATGCACCTTTCCTGTATCGGCGGCACCCCATCCCCACACTCACCGTGCCCGCTGTCCAAGAAGTCTGTGATGATGGCCGCACTGCAGGCCGACCAAGGGTTGGTGCGGTCGATCTGTATGAGAGTGGGCGACATCATGTGATTGGTCTTCAGCTTCCCAAAGACCTCTTCGCAGACCTTCACGTTGTCGTGAGGCATGTTGAACACGTGCCCTGGAAGCAGAAAGAGTCCAGAGTTGAAAACCACAAACAGAATTCATGCAACCTCCACCATGAGGCGCTCTCATTCTTTAAAGAACTCCATGCTTTCCTACAGATTAGGGCAGGCCCATATGAAACAGTCCCCCATCCAGCCAAACGCATTCCCACCAGCCATGTCTGGCAACCAGCCAGGGGCATGATACACCACTTGTCTGTCTGAGTGCCAGGGGTCATTTCCTGCAGGAGCGCACAGGAGCGGAGCTCCGGCAGTAAGGAGCCCAGGGGGCGGGCACATGCAACAAGCCCTGCCCCCCTCGGTCGGGCCACAAGAAGCAGCCAGGTAAGATGCAGAGGGCCCCCCCCCCCGCCTTCAGGTACAAGCTCTCCCTCCTCTGTGAGGACAGATCTGCACGTCCCCCCATCCCCCATAGCTAGCAATCCAAAACAGTCCAGTGGAGCCTGAGCAGTGGGTGTTGCCTTCTGACACACTTCCGGTGATGTCAGGGGGTGTGGCATATGCAAATGAGTTATGCTAATGAGCTCCGGCACCTCTTTTTCCACAAAATGACCCCTGCTGAGTGCAATCAATGGCTGGGAGTCTCCTGCCTCCCTGAAGGGCTCTCCATCCGACAACTACTAGCCATGGAGATTAACGAGAACCTCCACATCCAGAGGTAGTAAACCTCTGAATCGCAGCACTAACATCAGGGAAAGGCCTTGGCCTCTATGCCCCATTTGTTTGTCCTCGAGGGCTGCCTATTGGCCGGTATGTGAAACAAGATGCTGGGTTAGATGGACCACTGCTCTGATCCAGCATGGCTTTTTAAATGTTGTTATGCTTCCCTGAATCCATAATCTCTCTCATGGATCACTGCCTTGATGTGGCGAGGGGGCTTGCATGGTTCGATGAGGCTGTGGGCTATGCCGTGGAGGGCCACCCAGGATGGATAGGCCACAGTGGAGAACTCAGACAAAATGTGATTCACTGGAGAAGGAACTGGCAGCCCACTCCAGGATCTTTGCCAAGGAAAGCCCCATGGACAGTAACAAAAGGCTACAAGATATGACGCCGGAAGATGAGCCCCTCAGGTCGGAAGGTGTCCAATATGCTACTGGGGAAGAGCAGAGGGCAAGTACAAGTAACCCCAGAAAGAGTGAAGCGGCTGGGCCAAAGCCGAAAGGATGCCCAGCTGTGGATTTGCCTGATGGTGAAAGGAAAGTCCGATACTGCAAAGAACAATATGGTTAGATAGTGTTATCCAGGGCTCTAGTCGGGGGGGAGCTCTCAGGTACGGAGCTCCGGAAGAGAACCTCTAGGGGGCGGGGCGGTCACGTGGTGAAGCCCCGCCCCCTTCTTTACCCCACCCTCTGCTTCGATCCTCATTCCGTTTGGGAATGAGGATGAAGCAGGAGGGTAAGTAGCCGGGCCTTCTGACACACTTCCGGTGATGTCAGGGGGTGTGGCCTTCTGTCACTTCCGGTGATGTCAGGGGGCGTGGCATATGCAAATAAGTTATGCTAATGAGTTATGCTAATGAGCTCCGGCAGCTCTTTTTCTACAACAAGACCCCTGGTGTTATCAATGCAATGAACATGAACTTAAGCAAACTCCAGAGGATGACGGAAGACAGGAGGGCCTGGCATGATGTGGTCCATGGGGTCAACTGTGTGACTGAACAACAACAATAAGAACAACAAAAGAATCCATAGGAATTAGAGACACCAGACAGGGCCTGGCAACCAATAGGGGAACTTACTGGTGGCGGGGGGGAGGGCCTTCCCAGCAATGTAATGACATTGCTGGAAACGTTGCCAGTGACATACTGACATCACTCCTGGGGATGCTCAGGCATTTGGGCAAATCTCTATGCACAAAACTTGGAGACTTTTGGAAGCCTGGGGAGTGGTATCAGCTCATCAGGATGTTGCTAACATTCCCCCCACTTCCCACCATTTCCCCCTCACCAGAGACAGTGGGGAATCCCCCACCCCGAGCGGATGAATGGCAGCCCTAATCATAATGCTTAAGAGAGCTGCGGTGGCTCAAGCGGTTAAGACGCTGAACTGCAGGCTGTGGAAGGTCAGTAGTTCAGCAGTTCGAGACCCGAGTGTGCCGCATGACGGAGTGAGCTCCCGTCTCTAGTTCCAGCTCCTGCCAACCTAGCAGTTCAAAAGCAAGAAATTGCAAGTAGATAAATAGGTACCACTTCGGTGGGAAGGTAACAGCGTTCCGTGCGCCTCGATGTCTAGTCATGCCGGCCACATGACCATGGAAATGTCATGTGGAGATGAGCACCGCAACCCTAGAGTCGGATTCGACTGGCTTTCGAGCAAGGGAACCTTTACCTTTATGCTTCCATTACGCCCCAGGATAATTCCTATATTCTGGAGCTACTTCACTCTGTGAAGTACACACCTCTGCGAGAATACAAGCCTGCAAGTCTACCTCCTTGGATGAGATTAAGGCATCAGGGGCTTGAGTTTCTCATCTGCTGGAATTTCATAACCTCAACGAGGGTCTAGTATTCAAGACAGGATTTGGGCCTTGGTTCCTGAACTTTCCGGTCCCTTTTGCTTTACTCCTTTCTCTCGCATCACTCCTAGAATGGCTAGTAGTCTCAGCCACCTTCATTTCCTGGCTCCCTCATCCCAACTCTGAGGCCGGCCAGCCGCAGATGACATCAGATCTGGGCACCACAGGTCATGGCTGAAGAGAGAGGAATCGAGAGTGGCACAGTCTCCAGAAGCAGGTGGGTAATCGGGCACCACTCCAGTCTGGGATTCAGCGCCAAGAACCTATA